CCAAGAAAACCGCCTTGTCGCCGCAAGCACATTCGAATTTCGATCGCAACGCTCGCTTTGCCCGCTTGCGATCATCGTCGAACCTGTCGAAAAAGATCCGAGTTTCGATGGTTTTAAGGAACGCTAACGGAGAACTATGTTGTCCCGTTACCGTCGGCTCGCACGTCACATCGCTCGATATCGGACTATAGTTTTCGTTGTCGCCTATGTTGTCAACGTCAGCTATTACATTGAGGTCGAGGTCGAGGTCGAGGACGAGGCCGACACTTTTCTCAACCTCGACTTCATCGATTTTTTCGCACCTCCTCGGACACTTCCACGGCCTAATTGCCGCGTCATCTCGATTCATCTTTCTTTTAAGGTTCGGATTTGAATATTTCGATTTATAGACAATGAGTTTCATCGAAATGACAGTCGATACTACATCGTCATCCCCAAACTTATTACACCACGTGTCATAATCGCCGTCGCCGTATATTGTCAATATAAATATAACACGTGTCCACGTACGACGCTTTCGCCCCTCCAAAATATCGGCGAGAAACCTAAAAAACCCGGGATCAGCCGAATCGACATTTTCGACCAACACGATGAGCTTTCCGACGCTCCGCAACGCCATTTCGAGCGCGGCCGAGTTCTCAGACACCGTAAACGGGCAATTATTCTTCGGGTCCAAACAGAATAAAAAATCCGAAGAACCGAATACCGCCTTCGCTATTACGACGGCTAATCTTTGCTTTCCGACAATATCGTTCCCCCGAATTAACATCCACGTATCTTGTTGATGATCGTAACCGTCCATCAATGGGGTCGCTATCGACGGTATCGACTCGATTTGCCACGAAATGCTCTCTCTAAGCGTCCCGACAATATCCTCTTCGACTCGGTCGCAATCGCATTTGCGATGTGTTCCGAGGGTCAACACTGTATCTGCCGCCTTGTATTTATTAGGACAATGTGAGACGTACGATGAAGAAATGTAGCGACGGCTTCGATTTTCTTCATGAAGTAATATCTCCTGAATTGTATAAACATATTAAAGGGTCTACAAATTTAACTTCAATTCATTGGGTTTGTTTGGTTGTGTTTTTTAACTTTATTTGAAATAATGTGTTAGATCTGCCATTTTCTTTTTTCAGTTAGTATTTTGATGTGATATTTTATACTTTATTAAAAAATTAATAGTATATTTTTAATAAAAATTATGTTGATAAATAATATTGATTTGAATTCAAAATAGTAACAAAATAAAACCCATCAATTAAAGGTTCTTTACTTATATTTTGAATTTATTTTTCATATTGTTTAGAAACTAAATTACATATTTTTTAATAAAAATCTTAACTGTCTCACCAGTTAGATCTAAAAAATCTGAGTATTAAAGTGTTTGTGTTTAGTTTTAAGTGTTATATATAAAAATAAATAAAAAAATAATTCAGTAATACTTCCTCCGTCTCTTAACAATCTATCTATTTTTCTATTTTGTCCGTCCCGTAACAAAGTATTTATTTCTTTTTTTTTAGTAATTGTATTATCTGCCTAACATTACAAATACCCTTCCAATTTACAATATATTACACAAATGTCATTACCTTTATGTAATACAATAGTTAATTTAGTCTTTTTATCTTTATTTCTACTTTATCCTAATATAAAACTAATATTTTTAAAACTTTGTGCAAAAAGCAAATGGATATATAGATATGAGACGGAGGGAGTACAATAAATGAAATGTTTAGTTCTTTTAATTGAATTATTGATTTTATTTTTTTAATAATGTATAATTGTTGTATGTACATATATTAAAATTTGTTAGATTTTTTCACTAATACTACTTAAGAATTATGACTAAACTTGTTCTATTGGTGAACTGAGATATGTAATTTAATTAAGAGTATGTTTGTTTTGTCAAATAGTTTAAAATAATATTATAATTTTTTATTTTAGATAGAAAATTCTGTAAATAATATAAAATAATAATTATTTAATATTATTTTGTTTTAAGAAAAAAGAATAAATCCTAAATATTTTATACCCAAAATATATACCTTGTTGAAAATGGACGTGCTAGAATAGTTGGGGCAACATGGGAGTAGGCCACTTTCGTCTTCTTCCTTGGGAATAATTACTAAACCTTTAGGTTTTAAGATACTGCACAACATTCAGAATTATAAAATTAAGATTTAATATATATTTTTTTATTTGAATTTGAATTTAAATAATATTTTATAAAAATAAATAATATATTTTATTAAAATCATGCAAACGAATATTAAATATAGTAAGTTGAAATACAAACCAAACAAATCCATGAATCGCAAGAAAGATATGTAAGATTTATTTAAAGGAATAATTCTATTTTAAATGAATAATTATAGTAATCATCTGATTTCAAATTATTATTATTATTATTATTGTTGTTGTTATTATTATTATTATTATTATTATTATTATTATTATTTAATTTTGATATTATAATTAATAATATAAAGTGTTGATATATATATACACACACGTGTGTTTATATCATAATTTTTTTGGTCTGAGTACCAAACTATTACGCGTTTGTTTGAGTTTTTATTATAATTTTTTTTAGGTATGAATAGTAATTTGAATTTTATATTTAGTGTATGTAAATAATAGTACTCCATCCGTCCCAAAACTATAGTCTTAATTAGGTTGGACACGAGATTTAAAGAATATTAATACTATATTGATAGTTAGTAAAAAATATAGATAAAAGACTTTTTTGGCCCTGCGAATGTATTAGTGTAAAAATCAGTGACAAATGTATAATAAAAATGAAAAAGTATAGATAATTTTATGGTGATATGGTTATTTATGAAAATAAGAGTATTGTTTTGGGACGGACAAAAATGGTAAACAAGACTATTGTATTGAGACGGAGGGAGTATAATTTATAAAAAGTTATAAAAAATAGTAAAGTAAAGAATTTGAAATCAAGTAAACGGTGCTTATATGTCATAATATTAAATGCTTTCTATATTAAAATTACGTTAAGAAATATGTTTTGAAAAATATTTTGGAGTTTTAAGTTGATTAGGAAATATGAAAATAAAAAAAAAAAAGAAAATAGAATAAAAAAAATGTTTGATATAATATAAATAGGTAATGAATATGATATTTTAAATAAAAAATTGGCATTTGATAAGTATTTTTGAAAAGAAATGCTAGACCAATGTTTATTTGCAGGTTTGATTTTTTTGTTTGAATTTTTTTAATAATTAAAATTTAAATTTGAATAATCATTTGATATGATATAAGTTGATATTGTCATACTAATGTGATTTTTAAATACTCCCTCCGTCCCACATAATTTGTCCTTATTTTCTATTTTCGTTCGTCCCACATAATTTGTCCCTATTTTCTACTTTTGCCACGGGTTTTTAGGTGAGTACTATTAAGTATGATAATTTAGAAATTATGTTATGTGATGGAGAGAGAAATATATATTTTATTTTATTTTTATTTGGATGATGTGAGGGGATAAAGTGTAGTGTAGATATTAAGTATAATTAATTATTTCCTATTTTGGAAATATTCCAGAGTGTTTGAGATATATCAAAAAAGAAATGTTTGAGGGAGTATAAATCTTTGCAAATCATTCGAACAAGCACACTCAGTATTTTGAAATATTTTGAACTTTTATAATTGACTATTGAAAATAATTTTTTTATTTTTATTCATTTTAAAAATTTTGTAAATAAATCAATGTTACGAAACCACAATCAAACGTATCCATTAATAGTTTAATGGCTTTGAACTTTATGGGCTTTTGAAGGCTATGGTTAACAATAGAGAATTATTCACAATTTGGGTGCTTTGCCATATAAATAAATATATAATGATATTTAAGTGAGAGTGTTTTAAATAAAATAAATTTTAAATATAAAATATTAAATATGATATATATATTTTTAATGAATATACTTCCTCCGTCCAGTGCAAGGTTGCCGTTTACTTTTTGCATGTAGATTTTTAAATATTAGTATTATAATGAGTTGTAGTGAAAAAAAAATGAAAATGCGCCTATTAGTATTGTGTAATATAAAAGTAATGACATTTGTGTAATATAGCATAAGTTGGAAGGATATATATTATGTTAGGTAGATAGTACAATTACTAAATTAGGAAATGATAACCTTATTTTGGGACGGACAAAATGAAAAATGACAACCTTTCAATGAGACGGTCGGAGTACTATAATTTACAGTATAATTAATACTATAAAAGTAAATTAAAAAAAATGTAATTACAATATATTTTTAGACACGATTAGCGTTATGCTTGAGAAATAAATTTAAGTTAACACAATTTATAACTTCAGGAATGTATATTGATGCCCAATATTTAAGAAAATGACAATTATAATGACGTTAATTATATTTAAATAAAGAGAAATATTTTCATTACTTTTTATTAAAGGATATAAAAAATAATTATTTCGCTAAAGTATATATACTTCAAATCAGAAGCTTGAATTTTATATATAAAATATTAATTATTTACTATTAAATTTCTAATTAGTGAAAATTATGGCATGTGCTCTTAATTTTGTGTTACATTTGTAAATATTAATATAAATACTATATAAAAAATAGCATATTTGTAATCGAAATTTCGTCTCTAAAATTCACATAGCTAACGCAACCAATCTTTAATAGTCACTAATATCATTGCTAACAAAAAAAAAAAAAAAAGATTTAATGGCGAAAAATTTATTTTCTTAAAATGAAATGATGTACGCACAACCGGTTCATACGAACGATACCCTTAGGATTTTTCATCAGATGGGTGTTGTGTATAGCTGGCAGCCTAATTCTTATATTATTATTTATATATAAATCATAATTATTTATATGCTTATAATATAATACTCTCCATTTTATATTTATGTAAATTAAAAAATATTTATAATATTAAATAATTATTAAAAAACAAAAATAGATAAATTGTTACCAAATCAAATCACTCCAACAATCCAATTCACGCGCCGCCGTCACCCACCTTGCCCTCCGCCGTCTTTCTTCTTCGTTTTTCTTTCTTTCTTCCTTACTTTCTCCCCCTCTTCTCTTTTTTCTTTCCTTTTCTTCTAAGTTGCGCCGCCGCCGCCGCCCGCTGGAGTATCCGGTGCGGCTTTTTTTAATTTCCCTCTCTTTCTTCATTTCCCTCTGATTGTGCTTCCGTTTACTAGGAAATCGAGTATGTTTTAACATTTTCCTCATCTATTTTTTCATTTTCTTTGCTTCTCCTACCGGTGGTCTCCGGTCGCCGGCGCTTCCGTTTCAGACCTCTTTGCCCAAGTTTTTCCGGTAGCTAGGGTGCACAGAAAATCGCACCAACAAACAAACATGGCCAAGTTTATTCTCTAACACCAGTTTTGCTTGTAGGTTTTGTAAGTCGTTAGTCGAAAATTTTGGGTCAAATACAGTTCGTGAAAGCTCACATTCGAAGTTCCACCATGTTCGCTCAAGTCAGGTATCGGTTGCAACAGAGTAAGAACCAATTTTCAATTTCTTCGATTACTTTCACATTCCCCTTTCAATTACATCTCCAAATCGCTCAATTTCATCTCCTACCTGCATTTCCCCAGCAATTCTCCGTTCGCGCATCGTTGAAAACCCTGGAACTCCGATCTCCAGTACAGGATCGTGCGTTTCCTTATATTCCACTTCCACAAGGATATACAGCGGTCCGATTTCGAGATCACTGCGCAAGCGAATCAACAGAAGAGCTAGATTGGCAGCAAAACCTGTTCTAGACAAAACAGTTTTCCAAAAATGTGTATCTCAGCTGCTGCCTAGGTTCACCCCGGAGGATCTCCACAATGTGATAATCGAACAGGACGATCCATTGGTGTGCTTCAATTGGGCGTCTCAGCAGCACAGATTCAGGCACACCGTGTTCACCTATCACGTCACGATCCAAAAGCTCGGTGCGGCCAAAATGTACAAGGAAATGGACGATATCGTCAATCAGGTTCTAGCTATCCCTAACCTGGGCTCTGAGCCTCTTTTCAATACCATGATATATTACTTCATTGAGGATAGGAAGCTTGTTAGGGCTGTGAATATATACAAGCATATGCGTGCTTCCCGGAATTTAGATTGCCGGCCGTCGATTCGTACCTATAACATATTGTTTGCAGCATTTCTGAGCCGCAGGACGAACAACTATATTAACCGAATGTATATTGAGACAATAAGGTGCCTGTTCAAGCAAATGGTTGATGATGGAGTCGAGCCCGATATTTTTTGTTTGAGTGCTATGATAAAAGGGTATGTGATGTCACTTCGTATGAACGATGTCCTTAGAATTTTTCATCAGATGGAATTGTAAATAGCTGAATAGTCACTTAAGAAAGCAAACTATCTCATCGTTTGCGTTCATTAAATTTTTGTTGTTAGAGCAAGGAGTGCTTAGAGAAAGTTGCGGAAACCATCAAATTTCTATCGGCACGCGGAGACTCTTACATCCTATTACTCACAGGTGGGATTCGTAGTCATCACTTCAATTGTGCTTTACTCTTGTTTCTACATATCGACATTGGATTATACCTTCCTTGAATATGCGGCCTCTTTTTGTGTTTCTTCAAACCATTTTCTTCATTACTTTGTTGTTCCTCGTACACATAAGATTAGACTTTGCGACATAGATGAACTTAAACTAGATTGACGATAGTTTATATCCTATAAAGTGGCATTTTCAACAGGCATGAAATCAATTATTGTTCTTCTATGCTCCAAGTTTAGATAAGGGGTTTTCAGGTATTAGAAGGGAAATAATGGAGCTTAGCCCTCAGTTTTCAATTAATCTAAATTCATCCGATTCTAATTCCATGGATGTGGAAGACTCTATACTTTGTTATGATCACAAGGGATACAATAGTAGCTGTGAGCTCTTGAAATCACGCCCTCAGTCAGTGTAAATCACAAGGATTTTTGGAATACCTTAAGTTCTACTATTGTGACTGCCATGAGAGTGGATGGACTTTTTTGGTATTTGGTGTCTGGCTTGCTGCATTGTTCTATCTATTAGGCAATACGGCAGGCAGCCGATTATTTCTGTATTTCTTTGGAGAAGCTTTCCAGTCTGTTGAAGCTCTCTCCCTCCAACTGTTGCTGGAGTCACTCTGCTTGGTGCTCCTGATGTATTTGCTAGTTTTGCGGCTTTTGTAGGGACTGGAGCCGGGGAGGTTGGGCTCAACAGTGTGCTCGGAGGAGCAGTCTTTGTTACTTGCATCGTTGTTGGGGCTGTTTCACTTTGTGTTGCGCAACAGGACGTCCAGATTGATAACAAGTGTTTTGTAAGGGATATTTTGTTTTTCATCTTTACACTTACGGCCCTTTCATTAATCTTGTTTGTTGGTAAAGTGACTGTGTGGGCTGCTATTGCTTTTGTATCGATTTATGTAGTATATGCCTTTGTCGTTGCTGCTAATGAACTGTTGAGGACCCATACCCAAAGGCTGAAATTGGATGCGTTTACTCCATTGCTTCCAGTTGTAGGAAGTCTGTTTTCCATGGGAAATCAAGAGGATGAGTCCATGTTTAGCTCATTGCTTGAGGTTGAAACCGAGAGTAATGCGCAGTCACATGCTTCGTTGCTGCAGTGGATGTGCGCTACTAATGTGGCAATATGACGGAGACAAGAATCTGTGGAGATGGAATGAGGAAGATACGGAAGCACATCGGCCATTGTTTTCATTTTTGAAGCTATGTTCTCTAATGCACTTGCCATTAACAGTTCCAAGGCGACTCACTGTTCCTGGTCTAAGGTATATGCTGTTGGCTGTGCCTTATGTGCACCAATTCTTCTTGCATTTCTATGGAAAACAATCTTGACAATGGACATCTTGAGCAAGATTGTTTTATTTCAATTTTTGCTCCCAAAGATTTCAAATACGTTTCTAAATATGATGTTGAATTGGCAACATTTGTGTGAGTGAAATTGGATTCATATTCTTGGAGTAATCGTGACTGATTCAATAGAACTTTGAATTTGTGTTTTTGCTTGAATTTGAGTTGCATAGATCTTTCATCTTTAGGGGATTGACTATTCACACATACGAGGAAACAAGAAGCTTTGTAGGCAATGTGATTATTTCCGGTCTTAATTTTGAGGAAAAGATTGATTGCAATTGCCAATTGGTGAGACCAAGATTTTATGGCTTGCTATATTTTATTATCCTTCTGCAGAGAATATTTCGCTTAATTTTAATTACAGTATATATGTATAAGTTTTGATGGATTTATGTTAGATATTTGATGCACCATAATATGTGTTCATGGTCTGTAATTATAGAAACATACATTTGTGGTATGTTATTCTGCGAGGATTGATCATAAATAACTATTTTTTTTTACTCTAATCACGCAGGTGTGGATACATCACGGCTAAGGATGTTCTTGAATTAGTTGAGGAACATATCCTAAAGGGTGAAATCGTTGAGAAGCTTTGGAGGTTTAGCAATTCTCTCTGAATATATATGTTCTCTTCTCCTCCCCTTCTTATCTTACAAATTATATGCATTATTAATTAAATCAGGGGCCAAATGGGTACTACTATTGGCAAATCAAGTGTGGCCTTATTTGATAGCCACAACCCACCAAGTGGACTTGATACAGTTAAAGTTAAATAAAAAAAAGATGCCACCTGGATTGTGGTTATTATATTGAGCATCACTTCAGCTGCTACTATTGCTTATGGCATCTACCGAAGAAGAAGGTGAAGTTTCCTTAATCTCTTTGCCATGCTTACAATTTATAATAAAGAAAGAGCTATAGTAGTACTACTAATAGTTCAAGTGAGTAGTCATGAGTCTTAACTGTTGGTGAAGTTGGTTAATTTCCGTTACTCTTCAAATGTTTGCTGTTGTTTAGCCTCTTGACGTTGATAATGCAGATGCATGCATAAGAAGGATAATATGATATGTTTGTTAGGGAACTTCTAGAAATATCGTTTCATGCCACTTTGTTTGTTATTTTCATGCAAAGACCAATGTTTTAGTGGTTTATTTCAAACGGCCTATTTATGATGAAAGTTATACTTGATGTTTGAATTCATGAAAACATATATTTTGAAACATTAGTCCGCTGGTAGTGAACTTTTTAAGAAACACATATTGCATACCTATTATGAAAGTAGTATATAGGGATTTGTGAATAATGTGTTGCTCTGTAAAATATTGTTTAAATTATGTACGAAGGAAGTGAAATTCTATGTTCTCTAAGTGCCAATTGATTTAAGCTATTATTCACAATCAGGTGTTGCAATTTTAATATTTCAACTTGCTTTGTTAAGTTTCGTCGAAAGGTTTGTTTAAAATTTATTTTATTCTTCGTGGTTCTTTTATTTAGAGATTACTGCCATATACCTAACAATGTGGAATTTTAATTAAATTTACGAAATTTCTGCATGATAGATATTGTTTTGTAAATTTGTTAGACCAATTCATGGTTAATTATCACTAATATATGTCCAGAGATCTTTTTTGATTTAGAATGGAATAAGGTTGATTTTAGACTTGCCCATTCGGTTTCGAACCTTCGGTTTGCCGATTTTTGAACCGACGGTTACGGTTCAAATCGAAATCCGGCACAAACCGAACCGAAATTGTCATCCCACGGTTCGGTTTCGGTTTGTGAATTTTCCAAATCGTAACGGTTTGAACCCGCGGTTTATATTATTTTTTTTAAAAAAATCTCTCACCACTCACAGGGAGGCTAGGCAAAGAAGAAGAAAAAAAAGAGGAAAGAGGGAGGAGGGAACAGGAAGACCGAAAAGAAAAGAAAAGGAAAACCTGTTGGCGCGGCTGCCGTCTGCTGTCGATGATGATATAGTATGTGTAAATGTATTATTGATTAGGAATTTAGGGTAAATTGTGTATATTAATAATAATGATATTATAATTATGATTAATTTTTTATATATATATATTATTAAACTTTTCTAAATATAAAAATAATATTAATCTTAATAAATATCAATAGTTATTAATAATATTAAAAAAATAATACTATTATATATATTTAAGTTTTGTAATTTTTTATCATATCAATATTTTTACATTTATTTTTATGTTCTTTTTTTATTTAAAATTTAATTTAATTATTTACTATATTTATTATTTTAATTATTTTTATAATGTAATAATTTAATTATTTATTTATATATATGATTTTTACATAATAAATAAATAATAAATATATCTGAATAAAATTGATATCAAACTTAATAAATTTTAAATTAAATTCAAATTTAGAAAAATAGAAAATAAAAAAGGAAAATATTAAAAATGAATATATATAAACCGGCGGTTCAAACTGTAATCGACGGTTTTTAAATTGAAACCGGCGGTTTATAAATCGTAATCGAAACCGTCAAACCGTAACCAAAACCGTTATTTGGAAGGTTCGGTTTCGATTTGATATTTTGACAAACCGTAACTGGCGGTTTGAACCGTTTTGGCGAGTTTAGTTGATTTCTCTTCCACTTCAACCCCTCGTATAAATGATATGATCTCATGACATTCATTACAGTTACTAACTACTGAATCATGTTTGTTTAATCTTGTATGGGTGCAGATACCGATAGAAAATTTGAAGTCAGAAGTACATCATATGCCATCAATTCTATTTTATTCCTTTTATGGATGTAATTGTAAGTATTTTAACTTTTTTTTTTGTGAAATTTTTATTTTCTACCCCCATTTGAGATATATAATATAAGATTATGTTCCTAAGCAAGAAAGTAGATTGAATGAAGTTTATATAATAATGAGATTCTTAAAACTTTAGTGGATTAAGCTATTGCAATGTGCTAATATGGTGTCTATCGTATTCTAATCATTCACCATTTGCAACTTGGAAATCTACATGTAGGCATCAAATATGCTTCGGTTTTGTAATTTCCATCATGTTAAATGAAGAAGATAGCATTTATTTTCGATTGATAAATTTATGTTTTACTAGGTGCACTACATTTTTATAAAGTTGAAATATATAGTTAATTGCATCAAAGGTCGATTCTTTCACTTCATGTGGTGTAATTTTTTCAAATTTCTGCACCTTAAAATGTCAATTTATCATGCCACGGTTTTTGCTTGATCCTATATATCCATTAGTTTATAGAAAGTTAGAAACATAGTCAAGTTATTGTGCATAGTTTAGTAAGAAATTGTAAAATAACTATAATTATGTGTGCAAATTAGTCAAGGATGAAATTTCGTGATTGATGTCATGAGTAATTTACTTATAGAATTATTTATTGAATTTTCTTGTAAGGAATTGCTTACGAGTTATTACTAACAGAATACTCACGTGTGTCCTAGTTTGAGTACTATTAAATAGTGAATTTGTTGAGTGTTTACGTAGAATGAATGAAAAATTTATAAAGGACACACATATCTTATGTATAAGGTAATACCTATCTTAATTTGTATATGTTATTATAATAATTATTATATACAGTTGAGCCCATATTTACAGAGCGGTTGACAGTTTTTGATCATTGATTTGAACATAAAAGCCACAAGAACAGTTGCCATTTGTACTACAAGTAGCAACATTCTAGTTGAATATGAGCACTACCTATATAGGCTTGCAATATAATTACAATTTTAAAATTCCAGTATTCATGTGTATGTATATGTGTGAATATTAATTTGTTGTCCACTAATTGTTGAACATATTTTCGTAAGGCAGAGGGGTCAAATTTTATTTATAACGATCAAAATAGTTGTAATGTTGTGCTTAATAATTTTCTAACGGGCATTTGTTTCTTTCCCATGAATTATGCTATGTTGGCACATTAAAGATGATATGAATAGATTGTTTGTGAGTTGGTATTAAATAGTCTTAGTTTAAAGAATTTGATAAACTGTATTTTGTAATAATAATGCTTTGGAAATTTCATAATAACAGTTATATAAAAGACCAGTGTAATCATGATTTTTATTTTTTTACTTAATCTCTTACTTCCAGTAGGTATATGTGGAAGCATTGGGAAATGGCTTCTCTAGTGCAGCACCATTGCAATTCGATACAAATGGATTGTTGGAAAAGACTTCAACATATCAACGGATATAAAGGAAAAGGCTTCAGCATATCGGTGGATTCAAATTTTAAGGTATGTTGCTTCCATAATTTGAGAAAGTTGACATCATATTTAGTAAAAAAAGTGTGGCAATTTCAGGCTGATATTACTCATTCCGACACGCAAAAAATCAGTGCATTTTTTGCTAGGGAAAGAGTAATATTTTTTTGGTTTCTCTCGGGTTGTTTTAAAATTCAAGCCCGAAAGGACCGGCCTGATTTTGGATTGGGCTTGAAAACCCAAAACAAGGCATGGCCCGGTTTCAAATTATACCGGGCCAGGCCAGCCCACATTTTAAATATTAAGTTTTAATTAAGTTTTGTATTTTTTTTATTAGAAAATAAGTTATATTAGTCTAAATTGATATAATTAGGAAAAAAATATGTTATTTGATAATTAAAAATTTTAAAAAAATTAATGCATGCAAGTCCCGGGACGTAAATATGATTCTATTACTATATGCAAGATGCTATAATAAATGCAAAACATAAATGTAAAAGAAAAAGAACGAAATACTCCATATTATGTATTCGGTCGTCCGATCATCCGGCCACTCCGTCTCGTATGCATCTAAAAAGATTTAAAATAAATATTAGTATATATATGCATAGGAAACAATAAAATAATATTAAAATCACTTACCTTGGATTTGAAATCGAGATCGAAGAATCTTTCCGCTTCCTCGAATCTCCCCATAAGCTTTACCTACAAACTAAAAACACTAAAAAAATAAGTTAGTATAAAATATAGAAACAAAATTAATGCATGCATGTCCCGGGACTTAAAAATAAATTAAATGCATAAATGTAAAAAGAAGGGGACGAATTACTCCCTATGATGTATTCGGTCGTCCGATCATCCGGCCACTCCCTCTCGTATGTATCTAAAAAGATTTAAAATAGATATTAGTATATATATGCATAGGAAACAACAAAATAATATTAAAATCACTTACCTTGGATTTGAAATCGAGATCGAACGATCTTGGCGCTTCCTCGAATCTCCCCATAAGCTTTACCTACAAACTAAAAACACTAAAAAAATAAGTTAGTATAAAATATAGAAACAAAATTAATGCATGCATGTCCCGGGACTTAAAAATAAATCTATTTTTATATGCATAATGGTAAAATAAATTAAATGCATAAATGTAAAAATAAGGGGACGAATTACTCCCTATGATGTATTCGGTCATCCGATCATCCGGCCACTCCCTCTCGTATGCATCTAAAAAGATTTAAAATAGATATTAGTATATATTCATAGGAAACAACATAATAATATTAAAATCACTTACCTTGGATTTGAAATCGAGATTGAAAGATCTTTCCGCTTTCTCGAATCTCCCCATAAGCTTTACCTACAAACTAAAAACACTAAAAAAAAGTTAGTATAAAATATAGAAACAAAATTAAATCATGCCTGTCCCGTGACTTAAAAATAAATTAAATGCATAAATGTAAAAAGAAGGGGACAAATTACTCCCTATGATGTATTCGGTCGTCCGATCATCCAGCCACTCTCTCTCGTATACATCTAAAAGGATTTAAAATAGATATTAGTATATATATGCATAGGAAACAACAAAATAATATAAAAATCACTTACCTTGGATTTGAAATCGAAATCGAAAGATCTTTGCGCTTTCTCTAATCTCCCCATAAGCTTTACCTACAAACTAAGAACACTAAAAAAATAAGTTAGTATAAAATATAGAAACAAAATTAATGCATGCATGTCCCGGGACTTAAAAATAAATCTATTTCTATATGCATAATGCTAAAATAAATTAAATGCATAAATGTAAAAAGAAGGGGACGAATTACTCCCTATGGTGTATTCGGTCGTCCGATCATCCGGCTAGTCCCTCTCGTATGCATCTAAAAAGATTTAAAATAGATATTAGTATATATATATGCATAGGAAACAAAAAAATAATATTAAAATCATTTACCTTGGATTTGAAATCGAGATCGAAGTTTCCTTGCGCTTCCTTGAATCTCCGCATAAGCTTTACCTACAAACTAAAAACACTAAAAAAATAAGTTAGTATAAAATAAAGAAACAAAATTAATGCATGCATGTCCCGGGACTTAAAAATACATCTATTTCTATATGCATAATGGTAAAATAAATTAAATGCATAAATGTAAAACGAAGGGGACGAATTACTCCCTATGATGTATTCGGTCATCCGATCATCCGGCCACTCCCTCTCGTATGCATCTAAAAAGATTTAAAATAGATATTAGTATATATATGCATAGGAAACAATAAAATAATATTAAAATCACTTACCTTGGATTTGAAATCAAGATCGAAGGATCTTTGTGCTTCCTCTAATCTCCCCATAAGCTTTACCTACAAACTAAGAACACTAAAAGAATAAGTTAGTAAAAAATATAAAAACAAAATTAATGCATGCATGTCCCGGGACTTAAAAATAAATCTATTTCTAGATGCATAATGCTAAAATAAATTAAATGCATAAATATAAAAAGAAGGGGACAAATTACTCCCTATGATGTATTCGGTCCGTCCGATCATCAGGCCACTCCCTCTCGTATGCATCTAAAAAGATTTAAAAATAATATTAGTATATATATGTTTAGGAAACCATAAACTAATATTAAAATCACTTACCTTAGATTTCAAATCGAGATCGAAGGATCTTTGCGCTTCCTCTAATCTCCCCATAAGCTTTACCTACAAACTAAAAACACTAAAAAAAATAAGTTAGTATAAAATATAGAAACAAAATTAATGCATGCATGTCCCGGGACTTAAAAATAAATCTATTTCTATATGCATAATGCTAAAATAAATTAAATG